AAAAGCCCATAAATTTTTGCATCAACAACGATTACTAACTTTTTCATATTGTATGGTTTTCCTCGAATAACAGAAGAGATTTCAAAATCTCCAGTAGATCTTTCCATTAGAAACTTTTCTGAAAATGGAAAATTGTCGATCATGGGTAAATTTCTAGTATAAAAATTTCCTTTAAGTTGTGGACATGACAATCTGAAGTTTGAAACCTCTTTAATTGCATCATAAACAGCGTTTATAAAAAAATTTCGGAAAGCCCCTTTAGATATTTTACAAGAATCCACGTTAATTTTCATTATCTCATGATCAAACTGTTTTACGCCTTTTCTAGAACTTTGTTTAACTGTCACTGTCACTACAAACTTTTCCATGTCCTTTAATTGATTTGAAGTCAAATTTAATTTTGAATGACCATCTGTGTCGTTGAATAATTTCATTGAAAACTCAGAGAAGTAGTTTGGGTTAGAAGTGTATGAAGTTGTCAGCCAATATAACGTCCCTTCCTGATTTATGAGAAGAATTTAGAAAAGAATTATTACTTATTTTTATTGCTATTTACTACTGTTTTAAGAAATAGAATCAAGCAAAAGTTTAACTTCATTGCGTTGATTTTTTAGCGAAACAAAGAACCCGAAGTTGCTTTTTATGTTTAAATAGTTTCGCAGTTGAAAATGAACAGAGCATGGAAATTTTAAATATTCTCGTGATTTTAACAAAACGATGCTTCTATTTTTATAAATTAAATACGTAATGAGAATTGTAATGGCAAACTATTAGAAAAACGCTTCATTAAAAAGGTAATTAAGAATAATATCGAAGTGGACTACAATATTAATTAATGCATAGCAATATTTGAAGCCGAATCATCGTGCCACTTACATTGTTTGAATTTTCTTATCACTTTCTCATCAAAACTTGTTGCTTTAAATATTCTTCTCACACAAACATCGTTAATAGCTTTATAAACACTTCAAGTGACTCTTATCAGACTTAAAGAAGCTCATTTGAGTTTCTTGATTAGTTAGTAAGTTTCCAAGTTTCTTGAGAGTAATTTGAAAAAATAAAACATCAAACATGCTAAAGTTTCCACAATTTAAAGGTTTAGTAGCTCCAACATTTACACCATTCAATGACCAACACGAGATTAATTACGATGCTTTTGAACCTTACGCAAAACTTCTTAAGTCTAAAGGAATTAAAGCTTTTCTTGTGAATGGAACTTCGGGCGAAGGAATGCTTTTGTCGGTTAGTGAACGTAAAAAGGCAGCAGAGAAGTGGTCAGAAGTTTGTAAGAAACTTGACATTCTGTTAATGGTGCAAGTCTCTGGATGTCCCTTCCCAGATGTTATTGAGTTAACCAAACATGCAGCAAATCTTAAAGTTGATGGAATTCTGTGCCTTCCTGAACTTTACTTCAAACCGAAGACTATCGAGAAATTGGTGAATTATCTGAAAGACATTTCAGTTTATTGCCCTAACATTCCACTTTACTACTATCACATTCCAATGTTGACTCAAGTTGATTTACCAATGGCCAGTTTCATGCAACTTGCCAAAAAAGAAATTCCGAACTTCACTGGCATCAAGTACACTTCGGGAGATCTTGAGAAAGGAATTTTGTGTCTGAAGCATGGACAAGTGTTCATCGGACCTAATTCAATCCTTTGTGGTGCTCTTGCTTTGGGTTTTAAGAACGCAATCATGACATCACTCAATACAAATCCTGAAGCTGGTTTAAAGATTTTTGAGTTGATGGAGCAAGGAAAGTTAGCTGAAGCACAAAATCAACAAAAGTTACTTAATGAATATTTAGAAACAACTATGAAGAAAGGTAGGCAAAGATATCTTATTATGATTAGACTAATCCAACATTGATTAATTGCAGGCAATGGCGAATGGGTTCCATCATTGAAGAAAGAATTTAATGAACAATTCAAGCCAATTTACCTTGGACCAACACGAAAACCTCTTTNACGTTTGATTGAAAAAAAAAATTTGCAATCATTTTAACTAAAAATCATTTTTATTCCCAATGTAGATTGAATAACAAGAGTGGATTTAATAAAATAAATTTAGTAAATTTCATTGTTCAATATTTTTTAATCTTTTCGTAGAGATTTGCTTCGAAATTTTGTGTGTCGTATTTTACAACTTCACTCTTTCTCATCTTATCTTATCAGTAATTGACTTGAAAAACAATAATAAACTCTCTCTAAAGTTATTTTTACTCAGTATTGTGAATATTTGGTTACAGAAATGCAGAAGCTTAAGCAATTTAAAGGATTAATGGCACCAACTTTTACACCATTTAATGGTGATAAAGAAATTAATTATGGAATAATTGAAAGTTACGCGAAATCATTGAATGCAAAAGGAATCTCAGCGATTTTAGTGAATGGAACTTCAGGTGAAGGAATGTCGTTGTCAGTCAGTGAGAGAAGAAAGGTTACAGAGAAGTGGTCAGAAGTTTGCAAGAAACTTGACATTCTGTTAATGGTGCAAGTCTCTGGATGTCCCTTCCCAGATGTTATTGAGTTAACCAAACATGCAGCAAATCTTAAAGTTGATGGAATTCTGTGCCTTCCTGAACTTTACTTCAAACCGAAAACTATCGAGAAATTGGTGAATTATCTGAAAGACATTTCAGTTTATTGCCCAAACATTCCACTTTACTACTATCACATTCCAATGTTGACTCAAGTTGATTTACCAATGGCCAGTTTCATGCAACTTGCCAAAAAAGAAATTCCGAACTTCACTGGCATCAAGTACACTTCGGGAGATCTTGAGAAAGGAATTTTGTGTCTGAAGCATGGACAAGTGTTCATCGGACCTAATTCAATCCTTTGTGGTGCTCTTGCTTTGGGTTTTAAGAACGCAATCATGACATCACTCAATACAAATCCTGAAGCTGGTTTAAAGATTTTTGAGTTGATGGAGCAAGGAAAGTTAGCTGAAGCACAAAATCAACAAAAGTTACTTAATGAATATTTAGAAACAACTATGAAGAAAGGTAGGCAAAGATATCTTATTATGATTAGACTAATCCAACATTGATTAATTGCAGGCAATGGCGAATGGGTTCCATCATTGAAGAAAGAATTTAATGAACAATTCAAGCCAATTTACCTTGGACCAACACGAAAACCTCTTTAACAATTTTTATTTTAATTAAAACTTTATTTCTCTTAACTCCTTTCGCGTTACATTTTGTTCTTAAAATTTTCTGACGACATTGGAGACGAGATAATATGGCTGAAAGATTCTTTATTTTGAGTTCAGCATGTTTAATTACATTTTATGGATTTTGGAATTTAGATTTTGAATTGAAATAAATCAATCTTGCAATACTTGAGAGAGGCATAAATTGTATATATTGAAGAGGAGAATGTTATTGTTGAGTTAATAGGGAATGAATTAATCAGACTATTGGCTAATTAATGAGAAAGTTTATAAGATTTCTCTTCGCAGAATATCATAAGTGTAAGAGAAGTTTTTTTTGTCGTTTCCAAGCACCGTCGTTTTAACCTCTTTCCTCTCAAAAAAATACTTAAAACTCAATTATTTCAAAGGAATATTAAATAACATTAATTTAGTCGAAAAGGGACGAACCAAAAAAATTATTTATGTAGGATTTTAAGACTAAAAACATGACAATTATGATAACTTTTTATATGATTGGCCAGTGCTGAAACATTATGATTGTGCAAGCTTTTTTTATCTTATTGATTGTTTTCATAAATTGGCGTTTCCCATTTGGTGTGAACATTTGGAGTCAAATTAGTTATCTGTACATGAATTGCTTGATACTTTTCATATTTTGGTGGAATGGAGCATATGCGATACGATACTTCGTCACCCATTTGCGGAATGTACTCGCCTTCAATGCTGTTGAAAGAAAAACAAAAAAAAGTGCTAATGAAACAATGCGAAATAAAAAAATATAAAACAAAAACTTACTCAGAAATGTGAACAAAGATGTCATCGCCACCTTCTTTAGGTGTTATGAATCCATGGCCTTTACTACGACTGAAGCTCTTAACAACGCCTCTAATCAAAGGATTACGCATTGCTCGATCTGATCTGTGGGATAAAAACAAATATAAACAGGTGAAATTCAATCATTTTTCATTTCATGAAAGGACCCGCCGGAATAACTTCAAGCAATCACTTTTCAAATATTTATGAAAAGTCTCAAAAACAGAACGTCATTCATATTAAATTTCAATCGTAACATGTTTCATGTGGAAAATCTTCAATTTATCGTAACTAAGCACAGAATCCGCCAACGAATCTCACGTATGAGCGTGAAATTTATTAATGTTTGGGGTTGTTTGTGGAGGTATAATAAAAGCTCCATTGAGAGGTGTTACCAACATACTGTAATTCTTGAATTATGTTGAGTTAAGAGCAATATAAAACCAATTATCGACTTACGAAAGTAATACCGTTTCAAAGAATATTTTGAAAAGAGAAATAAAGCTGAGAAAATTGATACACAGCTTGTTATCGCATTTTCACAGCATTTTTACTTTTACGCACATAAAAGTTTAAATTTGGTATGTTAGATTAAAGAAATTTTCTAAGAATGTGAACGATTGAAATGAGTGTTTGTGTAAATATTTAAAGAATCGTTTCGCCTTCATTTTGCGACTTTAAGAATTGTGTAAACTTATAAAACTTATGTATTTCATCAATCTCTAAATGAGATTTTCATTTACGTCACACAGATAGAGTACAAAGAATATTTAATTGGCTATTGATTATGCGCCAAAGGAAAGTTTGGACAAGAATTAATGACACATATTGCGCAAAAAGCCGGCTGGAGCCAGAATTGATTAACCTTCAATATTAAATCACACAAATATTTGTTCTTAATTGATTTCAAATGAGAATATTTTCATTTATTAAATACTCACGTCGATGCTGTTCTAGTGCGTCTTGTTATGATTGGTGAAGGCAAAAGCAAATGTTTTGATGGACTCGGTGACGAACATTTGTTTTCTGATGGACTCAAATTATTTTCAACAAACACTTTTTTATCTGACATGATGAATTTTTAATTAATCTCACTCTTGTGGTGATTTTATTATGTTAAAAGGTTAATTTTTTTAATGACTTTCGTATGTTTGCGGATACTAAATTTGTATGAAAATTCGGTCTGCTTAGGTTTTTAAGGGTGTGCAAGATATCTTACTAATGTCTGTTCAGAAACAGTTTTATGCCGTTTATTTTTATTTGTCAAAATCAATTGTCATATTTTTATAAAGCTCTTTAATTGACAGTCCTTCCTTTTCTGCTAATGTTCCCAATATTAATTGCGCTGCATCTTTGGTTTCGTTGTATTTATGATAAAGCTTTATTTTATCCTGCTTTCGGTTGGTTTCAGTTTGGGTCAGTTCTTCAATTTTTTGATCTAATTCATCTAGTTCATCGCAAATATTTTTCTTTTGACATGATGCCGGATCCATTTTTTATTTTATGTAGTGCTGCTTATTCAGATTTATTTTATCTAAGCTTAATTCTGGTGATAATTTAAGTGAATGTAAAAAAACTGAATAATTTATTTTATGAACGCACATTTTCAAGATATGTCGTAGTTTTCACCCCTCACGTGCTCAATGCGACCACGGAGACCAAATTCACAAAAAAAGTAAAATCCTTGAATTTTCTATCGTCATAAATAGCTCAAGTGAGTCATTTTTGGGAAATTTGATTCTTCTTAACATTAGAAAAGATTCATATTACTGAAATATATCTAAAGAATAGTGAAAGTGCAAAAAGATTGAGCGAAAAAATTTTTTCGTCAAATTTTTCACTTCCATCGATTTTTTTTCGCTTAATTCTTTCGTCACAAATAATTTACCTACCTAATAAGTTTTTTTTCTGCTTTCCTTAAGATAAAAAAACATGAATACTTCACGAAATGCGGCTCGTTATAAAAATGCTGGTCTCGACAGTGCTGAGCTTCGAAGACGACGAGAAGAAGAAGGAATTCAATTACGAAAACAAAAACGTGAGCAGCAGCTAATCAAGAGAAGAAATCTGAACACTCAAGTAGACGATATCGATGTTGATGATATTACGGAAATGGGAATTCTTTCAGAACGTCAACCACCAATGGAGGGACTTATGGAAATCCCAAATTCGAATTCTATTATACGAGAGGAGACAGTACGAGCCTTGTACAGCAACAACGTTTATGATCAGCTGGCTGCAACTCAAAAATTTCGAAAAATGCTTTCAAAAGAGCCAAATCCTCCTATAGATGAGGTCATCAGAACAGGAATTGTGCCTAGATTTGTGGAACTTTTACAAAACCATGAGAACCACACATTGCAGTTTGAAGCTGCTTGGGCGCTCACAAATATTGCATCAGGAACCAGCCAACAGACACAAATCGTTCTAGAGGCAAAAGCAATTCCTGTCTTTGTAAATTTGCTAGCAACAAGTCAAAATAATGACGTTCAAGAGCAAGTTGTATGGGCTTTGGGCAATATTGCAGGAGATTCTGCTGCTTGTCGTGATGAAGTGTTGGACGCGGGGATTTTAGATCCACTCTTAATGATTTTAGAATCATCATCACGAATGAACATGTGCCGAAACGGTGTCTGGACGCTGTCAAATCTTTGTCGTGGTAAAAGTCCTCCACCAGACTTTGAAAAAGTCTCAAAATGTCTCCCAGTTCTCGCACGTTTTATCTTTCATGACGACAATGAAGTTTTGAGTGATGCATGTTGGGCACTAAGCTATTTAAGTGATGGGCCAAATAACAAAATTCAAGCGGTGATTGATGCTGGTGTATGTCGTCGTTTGGTGGAACTTCTTGCGTAAGAGAAAATTATTTAAGTAAAAAAATGATGAATAACTAATTATGATTTCTTTTATTAGGTTTCGGTCTTGCAATAACGTTATCTCGGCTGCATTACGTGCTGTTGGTAACATCGTGACTGGTGACGATGCACAGACGCAAATTGTGCTTAATTGCAATGCTCTTCCCGCTCTTTATCAACTCCTACAATCGGAAAAGGATACAATCGTAAAAGAAGCGTGTTGGACTATTTCAAACATTGCTGCTGGCAATAAACAACAAATTCAAGCCATCATTGATGCCAACATTTTCCCAATGCTTATCAATATTCTTCGAACAGCTGAATATAAAACAAGAAAAGAAGCGGCATGGGCAGTGACAAATTCGACAAGTGGTGGAACATCTGAGCAGATTAATTATCTGGTTTCGGTTGGATGTATTCCACCGATGTGTGAATTATTGACGGTGATGGATGCAAACATTGTGCAAGTTGCTTTAAATGGTTTAGAAAATATTCTGAAATCTGGAGAGGAATGTCATCATAAACCAAATCCTTTTGCTGTAATGATTGAAGAATGTTATGGTGAGAAAAAAAAGAATTTCTATTACAATCCGAAAAATAAATTTTTATTAACTCGATTTTCCATTTTTTCAGGTCTCGATAAAATTGAATTCCTACAAACACATTCGAAAACGGAGATCTATGAACGCGCTTACAGTATCCTTCAAGAGTACTACGGCAACGACGAAGAAGATGCCGGCGTTGCTCCATCAACTCAAAATAATGAGTTTCAATTCACGAATCAACCAGTCACTGACAGTGGCTTTCAATTCTAAATTCAAAATATTCAATTTTTACAACATCAACAATTGTCATCATTTATTTTTTATTATTTACTGCTTCGTTAGTAATTTACGTATCCGCGACAAAAAAAGGGGAATTCTTAATTATCGACTGTGAACTAAAAAACTAAATAATCTACACAAAATTATAAAAAAACAACGCAGTAAAAAAAGAAAGAGCCTAAAGTTTAAGAAATCACAAAATCTGATCGCAATGTAACATTGAAGTTTCTTAAAAAACATTTTTGTGAATCTTTAAAAGAATGAAAGTTTATTGAAAGTAAACTTTCGACATAAAAACATGAAAGAAAAATTTCATGAGAATGAAACAAATGTAAGAATTATATTTGATAACATTGCATAATCTTTGAGCTTCTGATATAAAAAAAAGTGAAACTTACATTAAAAAAAAAGGTTTTTTCTTGTTTTTATTTATTTTGATTCTTTTAAACTTCTCTCAGCGAAGTAACAAACAAGTGAAGAAAATGAAATGATTTAATTAAAAGGTTTAAGGTAGAATGTCTGATCGAGCATACGAGTTATGAGAGGATTACGAACATTATCAGCTAAACTTTCCCATTGATCGTTCAGATGTTCTCTTATATAATCTATTGGCTTTCCTTTTGGCGATCCTGGCACATGAATTGTTAGGAATATAATCGATTTTTCCACGAGAGGATTGTAAGTGTCACAGAATGAATGAAGAACTTTAACATTTCCTGGAGCAATCTTATCGACGTCTCGGATTATCATAATTGTTCTCTTTGATAGCTCATCTTTGTAGTTTGTAACGAGCTTTTCATTTATTTCATCTTTTGATAGATTGATGGGATCATTTGTCTGATTGATGCATTGTTTTGTAATTTTCACAACTTCCTCCATAAGATTATTAATTAGAGCAGAATCAGTTGAGAAGATAGAGAATACTGAGGGTTTGGAAGGATCGCTATTGACAATTCCTTCGATTCCTATTTTAAGTGACTTAAAAAGTAATTTATCTTGATTTGGAAAATTCTTTGTTAAATCCATGAACTGAGAGCAATTTAGTTTTGCTTTGATGGTTCCATTTGAATTTTGATTGTTAGTCAGGCAGTTATAAAATATAATTATTCCTACGACACCAGCAATAACACTCAAATAATAGTATAGACCAGATCCTCCAGCAGATGATGATGCTTTTTCTGAAGATTCTGTAGTTCTGGATCTTGTTACAGTTGATGAAGGCGATTTTCTAGGAGTTTGACTTCTGTTTCTGGTTTTGTTATGTTGTCCCAATTCCTTTGTTTCAATTTCTGGAGTTCCTTTTACTGGACTGCTGGAACTGTGAGATGTATCAAATAATTTCTCGCGTTCCTTAAGTGACCTGCTCATATCATCGTCGGACATTTCTCTTATAGATTTCCTGACTTTTATCACACTAGAACTGATTACCATAAGAAATGTTTTTTAAACTATAACGAATATAAAATATTAATTATTTCTTCTTTGTTTTTCTTCAATTTTAATAGAATCGAATATAAATCAAGCCTTTAAATGACAATTAACAAAATATATTTCAGGACGTAAAATTTTAATGTTTACATTTAATTTATGGTAGTAGTAGTTATCGAAAACGTCGTTTTTTTCGAAATTAAATTTCGAATTCTGTTCCACTTTCCTAAGCGTTCCTATAAAATCCCTAAAGTTAAGTTTTGCAGAAACTGTCGTCATTTTCTGTCGTTTTCGTAGTTTTTTCGTAAAATTTTATAACTTTAATTACTATCATTTGCAATATTGTATATTCTACATCATTTAATTGTAAAATTTGTTTGAATAAGTGAGTAAAAGTAGATAAAATTTTGTGAAATTTTCTTACCGGAGATACAACAACAAAAATCATATTTCGGAAGCGACAAAAAGAAGTCGCCCAATTGTTATCGTCAAGTGATGAATCATCCATTTAAAATTTCTACATCTTTCAGATAGAAGAGAAAACATGTCAACTGAAAAAGAACCTGTTGGCGATGATATTGAAGGAGATGTTGATGAAAACTACAAGGCGCCACCCCAAAAGACTATCGAAGAGATTTTAAGTCTTGACAATGAGGATGAAAGTTTGCGCAAGTATAAAGAAGCACTGCTAGGCTCTCAAGCTGAGAAAATTATCATTGATGCCAACAATCCAAAGAATGTTATTGTCAAAAGACTTGCACTGGTTGTTACTGATAGACCAGACATGGTCCTGGAGCTTGATGGCGATTTATCTCAATTAAAAAAACAATCATTCGCTATTAAGGAAGGCATTCAATATAAAATTAGAATCGAGTTCTACGTTCAACGTGAAATTGTTCATGGATTAAAATATGTTCAGAAGACATCTCGAATGGGTGTCAACGTTGATAAGATGACGCACATGGTTGGTTCATATCCTCCAAAAACAGAAATTCAAAGTTTTACGACAAACTTTGAAGAGGCACCGAGTGGAATGCTCGCTCGTGGTGAATATTCTGTGTCATCATTGTTCACTGATGACGATAAAACGGAGCATTTGAAATGGGAATGGACATTGAAAGTTGAAAAAGACTGGTAAATAAAAAAATCAATCATTTTAATCCATCTCGTTCACGCTTATTCTCTTATCTTTGCTTTATCTTATCGAATCATATCATTTTATAATAATATAAAAGTTTTTCTTTCCATTATTATTATTATTTTCTTTTCTGTTATTTTTTTAAAGGAAGGACAAGAAATAACTGACCCCAAGCTAATAATGTTGTGAGCATAACATGCACTCGTTTTTATATCATTTTTTCTTTTTATTATTTAATTTTGGCTTCTAACAAGAGTTTGTGTAGATTAAGTGTGAAGCGTTTTAATCTTTTCTCTTTTTTTAATTTTAATTAATTCCTGCAATAAAAAAATAAAACAATTTTTTCATGTCATTCACCAGTCAGCTTGGTTCAATAAATAATTAATTAAATGTTTCTTTTGCATTTAATTGCCTTTTCTTTATGCATAAGAAGTTTGTCAAATAATTTCTGCATTTAAATGAGACGACATATAATCAAAAAATGTTATAAAGAAAGCTTATTAAATCATTTAATCAGCAATAATAATTCAATCTTTCGTTAATAAAAAGTCTTACTCATGAAATAAAAGAAAAACTAAAATGTTACAGCTTCTAATGAAAGCATTGATCATTTTGTGGTAAACAATGAACAGAAAGTATTAAAAGATTTATGAAAACTCCAAAAAGAAGAAAAGAAAAATTCTTTAACCGAGAGCGAATTGTGCTATTTTTGTAGTTTAGGAAATATGTAGAACTGCTCCCGTATCATGCACGTGTCAATGAAGCGTAAAGAGCGAACTTTCCAGATGAAAGATTACTTGTTTATGTAATTTTTTCGCTCAATTTATCGCTTATCGCTCTCCCCCCTTTTCCCAACGATAAAAATTATTATAAACATAGACGACGATACATGTTGTTGGAAATTGTAATCAAAAGTATTTTTTATCAACTGATAACTTAAATCGGCGGTTGATTTATTGTAATGGTTAACGTGTTTTCATTTTAGCCATTTTTATGTCACAGTTTGCCTTTTAATGTTGTCGCAAGTTTCTTGCTTCTCTTAAATTTCCTTAAACTTAAATATTTTTATTTTATCAATGCAATGATGAAGAAAGCATTTTGAATGTTAGTTAGCTGAAGGAGAGTTCACTGTAATTTACATTAATCGTATTAAAGTTTACATCAAGAAATAAACAAATTTCAGACATGAATCATTTTTCATTAGATTTTGGAGAGCATGAAAAAGATTTGGGGAAATTATGATGAGCTAAGAAACATGAAAATTCTTTGTAATCTATCTTTGCATTATTCATGCCAAAAAGTTATACTTTGTGCTTCTATAAAGAAACAAATTGTGAAAGAAAAATGATGAGAAAATAAATAAATAAAATGAATGTTTTTCCACCTGCAACTTTCGTCGTTTTAATTTTTTGCATAAATTTTTCAGTGAGTTTATTCATCATGTTCTGAGTAAGAATTCTGTTTAGGTGTTCACAGAATTCAAGGAAAGTTAAATGAGGAATTATTTTACTCAACAAAATATTCCTTTAATTCTTTTCCTTTGTGACGAAAATACTTTTATCAATAAAACCCCATGGAGTTTGACAGGTGGACGATAAGATTACTAAATTTATTGAAACCTCACTTAAGATGGTTCTTAATAACAAAGTTAATCATTAAATCAAACGGCTACTGAAAAGTTTTTTATTGCTTGATAACAAATCAATTTTTAAGATAAGTTTTTTGAATAAAAGTCGCAGTTTTAGCAACGAAATCTTCAGTTTTGTTTTAAGTTTCTTAGGAGTTAAAGAAAAAAAATGAAATTCTTGGTGGTGATTGTAAGTTTTATTGCCCTGTCAAGTGCGCAGTTTGATCCACATTTCTGGGGTGGGCGTTCTGGAATGGTTCACCTGTTCGAGTGGAAATGGAGCGACATTGCAAATGAATGTGAAAACTTCCTTGCTCCAAATGGATTTGCTGGTGTTCAAATCTCGCCTCCAAACGAGAATGTGATTGTCCCGAATCGTCCATGGTGGGAACGTTACCAACCAGTTTCGTATCACTTAAATACAAGATCGGGAAATGAAGCGGCTTTCGCTGACATGACACGTCGTTGCAACGCTGTCGGTGTTCGTATCTACGCTGATGCTGTCATCAATCACATGTCAGGAATGAGTGGAACTGGAACTGGAGGATCAAGTGCAGACAATTGGAACATGCAATGGCCAGCAGTTCCTTTCGGTCCAAATGACTTCAATCCACGTTGTGATATTGAAAGCTACAACGATATTTATCAAGTTCGTAATTGCTGGTTGGTGGGATTGGCTGATTTGAAGCAAAGTCAAGAATATGTTCGGCAAAAGATCGCAGACTTTTTAAATCATCTCATTAATTTGGGTGTCGCTGGTTTCCGTGTCGACGCAATGAAGCACATGTGGCCTGGCGATATGGAAAATATTTTTGGTCGTTTAAATAATCTTAACACCAACTATGGATTCCGCAGTGGTGCTCGTCCATTTATTACACAAGAAGTCATTGATTTAGGTGGTGAAGCAATCACCAAATACGAATACACTCACCTTGGAACTGTCACAGAGTTCCGTTACTCAGCCGAAATTGGAAAAGCTTTCCGCGGTGGAAATCAATTGAGATATTTAAAAAATTTTGGGACCGAGTGGGGTTTCTTAGAATCTCATTTGGCTTTGACTTTTGTTGACAATCACGACAACCAAAGAGGTCATGGAGCTGGTGGTGCTGATGTTTTGACTTACAAACAATCGCGACAATATAAAATGGCAACAGCTTTCCATCTTGCGTGGCCATTCGGAATCAATCGTATCATGAGCTCTTTTGAATTCACTAACACTGAAGCTGGTCCACCAGCTGATGGAAATGGAAATTTAAGATCACCAACATTTAATGCTGATGGATCATGCGGGGGTGGATGGGTTTGTGAACATCGATGGCGGCAAATTTACAACATGGTTGGCTTCCGTAATGCTGTTGAGGGTACAGGCGTAGAGAATTGGTGGGATAATGGTGGAAACCAGATAGCATTCTCACGTGGCAACCGCGGATTCATCGCTTTCAATGGAGAAGGCTACGCTTTGAACCAAAACTTAGCCACTGGTTTGTCAGCTGGAACTTACTGTGATCTTGCATCTGGTATAAAGAGTGGAAGTTCTTGCACTGGTAGCTCAATTCAAGTTGGAGGCGATGGACGTGCGAACATTAACTTAAGCAACACTGCTTATGACGGCTTCATTGCAATTCACGTTAATGCTAAATTGTAAAAATTCACTCAAAATTATTTTTAACTTTCGAAACAGATTTTTCAACAATTCAATGAATACTGAGAAGAAATTAAAAATTTCAAAGAACTCTTTTTAAGTTTTACTTACTTTTAGCGAATATAAAATGAGTTGAAATTACTTTGTTCATATATCTACTATTATTGTTCATTAAAAATTTGAAGAAAAATTAAAATAAAAAATTCATTTATTTTTTCATCTATGGGCACCGAAAGATTTTTTTATTCTACAAGAAATAAGTAACACGTCCATGTATTGTATCATATTTTTCGTGCCACCTCTTACAATTTAATCTCGTTCCTTTAAAAAGTTCAAATTTCTTCACCACCACTGCTGCAATTTTATGCTTTAATAATTTTTACATTAAGGTTTAATATCAAAATACCTAATTTGCTGCAATTTTATATGAAAAGAATTCATCACATTATTTATGAAAGCCTTAAATTAAATTAAATTATATTTAAAAAATAAAGGGGCAACAGCTTCCACCACTAGGCAATTTCAGGCAAGCAACCGTTTCGCAAGGAGCAGATTCACCTAATTCACATATTTGGGTGGTAGTTGGGACATCACCTCCTACATTTACAAAGCCAATGATACTTAGAAAAAGCTTAAGAGAGAGAAATTTATCATTTTATGTCATCAAAAATAATATTTTCCTACCATACCTGAAGATGACTTAAAATAAAGTTTTGAAAAATAACATCGGCATCATAACATAGAAAATATGTCGTATCTCAGTATAAGAGATTTGTTTATTTATTTTTATTGCTTTACATTTAAACGTCAAGCTGTAAACGTGATTCTGATGACTTTTACATTTTGCATTAAATACCTACTTTCTAGTTTAAGTAAACTGATAAGAAACCTGATAAAATAAATTTTTATTAAATCTGATGTTACAAAAATAAAGTGGCTTGCGATATTAGTTTCTGTTCTCAATGTGATACACTCGATTATGATTAATAAAAGTAACAAACACATTTGGCTTAATAATTAATGTCTGTTTTAAGACAGCAGGTGAAACTTTCAGATATTTACAGTTTATACAGAAAACATCATTGTGTGAAAAAAAGTTTTAGAATAAAAATTGCTGTTCTCTTAATTTCATCTTTAGTATTGAGACTTGAAGTGATGAAAATATTTTTTATATTTCTAAATTTTCTGGGTGCATCTCGTGCGCAATTCGATCCACATTTCTGGGGTGGGCGTTCTGGAATGGTTCACCTGTTCGAGTGGAAATGGAGCGACATTGCAAATGAATGTGAAAACTTCCTAGCTCCAAATGGATTTGCTGGTGTTCAAATCTCACCTCCAAATGAGAATGTGATTGTCCCGAATCGGCCATGGTGGGAACGTTACCAACCAGTTTCGTATCACTTAAATACAAGATCGGGAAATGAAGCGGCTTTCGCTGACATGACACGTCGTTGCAACGCTGTCGGTGTTCGTATCTACGCTGATGCTGTCATCAATCACATGTCAGGAATGAGTGGAACTGGAACTGGAGGATCAAGTGCAGACAATTTGGGCATGCAATGGCCAGCAGTTCCTTTCGGTCCAAATGACTTCAATCCACGTTGTGATATTGAAAGCTACAACGACGCTATTCAAGTTCGTAATTGTTGGTTGGTGGGATTGGCTGATTTAAACCAAGGCCATGAATACGTTCGGCAAAAGATCGTTGATTATATGAACCATCTCATTGATTTGGGTGTCGCTGGCTTCCGTGTCGATGCAATGAAGCACATGTGGCCTGGTGATATGGAAAATATTTTTGGTCGTTTAAATAATTTGAATACTGCGCATAATTTTCATTATGGGGCACGTCCATTTATTGCACAAGAAGTCATTGATTTAGGTAATGAAGCAATAGAAAAATACGAATACACTCACCTTGGAACTGTCACAGAGTTCCGCTACTCAGCTGAGATTGGAAAAGCTTTCCGAGGTGGAAATCAATTGAAATGGTTGAGAAACTTTGGAACCGAGTGGGGATTTTTGCAGTCTCATTTGGCTTTGACTTTTGTTGACAATCACGACAACCAAAGAGGTCATGGAGCTGGTGGTGCTGATGTTTTGACTTACAAACAATCGCGACAATATAAAATGGCAACAGCTTTCCATCTTGCGTGGCCATTCGGAATCAATCGTATCATGAGCTCTTTTGAATTCACTAACACTGAAGCTGGTCCACCAGCTGATGGAAATGGAAATTTAAGATCACCAACATTCAATGCTGATGGATCATGCGGGGGTGGATGGGTTTGTGAACATCGATGGCGACAAATTTATAACATTGTTGGCTTCCGTAATGCTGTTGAGGGTACAGGTGTAGAGAATTGGTGGGATAATGGTGGAAACCAGATAGCATTCTCACGTGGCAACCGCGGATTCATCGCTTTCAATGGAGAAGCTTTTCCTTTGAACGAAAACTTGTACACGGGCTTACCAGGTGGAGCCTATTGTGAACTATCATCTGGTATAAAAAGTGGTTATATCTGTACTGGTAATACGATCCATGTGGATTGTCATGGAGTTGCCAACATTAATTTAAGCAACACTGCTTATGACGGTTTCATTGCAATTCACGTTGACGCCAGATTATATGACGTTTCTCGTTCCTGCTTAAGCAGTTGCAACACCTAAAAGATTTTAAGATTTTATTTGGCTTGACATTTTAATTCACATTTGAATTTAAAAGACAAAAAATTATATATTATCTATATACATACATATAAGTTTTTTTTAATTCAAATTGTGTAATGATATATGATTAAAATAGCAAAATCAATAATCTCTGTGGTTTAAATAACTTTCAGTTATTTGTGAAAGCTTTCAAGTTGAGCTTTTTGTTCCATTTCCATTTTGTTCTTATTCGATATAAATTTCGAAGTGAAACATTTTCGAATGCAGCGGGGTAGTTCATGATGTAAAATTTATTTTACTAATGTGCTTTCTTTTAATGCTTCAATCAACCCTTTAGCTATTATAAATTATATTCAATATTCTTTATAATTTGAGACGAATCCAGATAATTCTAAATCATGCAATGCCAAAAAAGCTTTCATATAAAGTTGCAGTTTTTTAATTAATCTCCCTTCCGGTCATGAATTTCCCCTCGTTTTCGATATTTCGAGCACACGTTGTATTGTTATTCTTAGATAAATGTAGGTATAGAAAGGTCTTAAAATTTTGTTGTCACTAATTAGTCACTCGTTTTTTTACAAATCAAATTTGGATTCATTATATTTTTTGTGTTCTTCCGTAAGTTGAATTTAAGAGATAACTGAAAATTTCCGATTATAAAAGAAATATTTCTGCCTAGATCCTCATTATCTAAGACATTTTGTTTTGCAACCACCATTATTATTCTAAGAAGTTAAATTGAAGTAAAAGTAATGTCGCAACATATAGAAAATATAAAGAGGCTTCAGTCCTCTATAGAAAGCATCAGAAATATTTGTATATTAGCTCATGTAGATCACGGAAAGACAACATTAGCTGATTATTTAATAGCCAACAATGGTTAGTTTTTGTAATTTTATTCATTTCACAAAATGGTGTCACATTGAGAATTTTTTTCAGGAATCATCTCAAGTCGAAATGCTGGACCGATGCGTTATTTAGACAATCGTCCAGATGAACAAGAGCGCCAAATCACAATGAAAGCTTCAAACATTTCACTTTATTACAAATCAAAATCATCAACTGAATATTTAATCAATCTCATTGATTCACCGGGTCATGTGGACTTTTCGAGTGAAACATCGGCTGCAGTTCGTTTAGCTGATGGTTGTATAGTTGTTGTGGATGTGATAGAAGGAGTTTGTGCTCAGACGAGAACAATCCTTCAGCAAGCATACAATGAGAACTTAAAACCGATTTTGTTTCTCAATAAAATCGATCGACTCATTCTCGAAAGAAATATGAACAGTGCTGAGGCTGAAGATCATTTAAGAAGATTATTAGAGCAAATAAATGCAGTTGTTGGCAATCTTTTTGCATCTCAAGTATTAAAAGATGAGGACACAGAAAACTCAAATCAAGAATCTGCACTTGAGTCATCTGATGATTCCAAGCTCTATTTTAATCCTAATGAGGGTAATGTCATATTTGGATCAGCCCAAGATGGATGGGGACTTAGTCCAATTCACTTTGCTGAAATGTTCTCTACTAAAATGGAAATTCCACTTGAGATTTTAAGTCAAAAAATTTGGGGTGATTTCTATTACAATTTTAAACACAAAAGATGTGATTCGGGAGCTTATTCCAAGGGGAAAACAACAATTTTTGTCCAAGTAATTCTTGATAATATTTGGACACTTTACAATAATGTGATGTCGGGTGAAGTCAGTAAAATTCCGGCTTTTTGTGAGAGACTTAGACTTAAATATCGTCCACCAAAAACCACAACAGTTAATCGAAAGGCAATTTTGAAGAGTGTTTGCATGGAATGGCTTCCACTTCATCATGCAATGTTCGAGAAGATTGTTGAACAAGTAACAAATCCAAGCGCGATGTATGACATCAAAATGTCGAAGCTTTTAAGTTTGGATGAATCGCAGATACCTAAAATAGAATTTCATAATAATGATGATTCAAAAGTCATTGCATTCATTGCAAAAATGGTTCCGATCACATTTCGAGAACTTCAAGCTTGCGACAAAAGTTTGAAAGATGTCAGCAGCGATGAATATGAAGATGATGATCAAGTTTTGATTGCATTTGCCAGAATTTATAGTGGAACATTGAGAGAAGATTCAAAAGTTCATTTAGTTAAGTCGGATTACAATCCAAAGAAGAAGAATGTTGAACAGCTTGAGTCTGTAACAATTAAGCGAATCTACCTCATGATGGGAAGAAATCTTGAGCCTATCAATGAAGCACATACTGGAATGATTGTTGGAATTTGGGGACTTCAAAAGCATGTCATTAAAACTGCTACGTTGTCGTCAAGTGATAATTGTCCTCCATTTAATGGATTGGATATTTTAGCACCGCCGGTTGTTCGTGTTGCTGTTGAGCCAACAAATGTCGATGATATGCCGAAGCTTGTTAAAGGATTAAAAATTCTCAATCAAGTTGATTCATGTGTTCAAATAATGATTCAAGAATCGGGTGAACATGTTCTGTGTGTCCTTGGTGAAGTTCATCTCGAGAAATGTGTTCGCGATTTAAAAGAAAGTTATGCAAAAATTTCCTTAAATGTCTCAAAACCAATTGTTCAATTTCGTGAGACGATTGTGATGGATCCAGTGATAAGTTCAAAGAATTTGATAAACACTGATGATGAAAAGAAATCAGTAACAATTAATGGTCGTAATAATGCGTGCACCATCAAAATGATTGCAATTCCATTGCCAAAAGATTTAGTGGAGTTGCTAGAAGCAAACAAAAATGCATTGAAAGTTTTCATCGATAAATTCGAAGACGATTCATCCGAATCGACAATCAAAATGAGTCGAGAATTATTGGAAGTTAAAAATTCTGTTGTTAATGAAATAAAAAAATCACTTGAGGATGCTATTGATGTTGAAGATATTTGGAGTATGGGGCCGAAGAAGTCAAGCACTTGCATTCTGGCCAATAAAAGCTCTTATAAGCATTTAAATTTCTGGTCAAGTGGAACTGGAGCTGTGGGCCTTTATGATCGTGCAATTATCAACGGTTTTCAAACCGCCGTTCAATCTGGTCCGCTATGCCAAGAGCCGATGCATGGCGTTTGCTTTCTGCTTCAAGAATTTAATGTTGATGAAACGTGCGAGAAGAGCGAAAGCCCAATATCTGGCATCATCATCACTGCTGTGAAAGAAGCGTGTCGACTTGCATTTCAAAAGCAAGCACAGCGTCTTGTCGGTCCAATGTACCAATTGAATGTGATAGCTAATCAGGATGTTCTGGGTAAGTTAAACTTATAAACTAAGAAACCTCTCACTGTCAATTAATCATCCATAAAATCACGTCTTATAATTTAATTAAATTCTAATTCTCTTTATTACTTTCAATATTTCTATTCTTCATAAATTAAATTTCTTAGGGGTGATTCGTGAATTACGTGAACAATCTTTAAAGTTTAATAAATAAATATGAGAAAGTTTTTTTGCCTTTAATGTGACGAAATTTACGAAAAACCCCAAATGATGATAAACTTTATCTTCATGTTATTTAAATTGAGTATTTAACATCGACAAAACATTTCGATTAAGCCAAATATTCATAGCGAAAAAAATATTAATTGAATTTAAACTTTCATCTTCGATAAAAAAAGTCCAAAGTTATAAATTAAACGGCTTGAGCATGAGAAAATTTTAGAAATTCTGAACTTTCGAATTTGAAAAATGTTGTTCGTGCATTCAAATTTATTCGCCTTTGCTTGTGATTTCTGACGATGTTTGTGGTGTGTCAGGTGCCGCTGCTTCGATTGTGGTGTTCTTCGTACGATAAGTTGTGTGAATTGCTGGTCGTTGACTGAT